CCCCTCGGCCTGAGCGGGGTGGCACTGCAGCTGTCCCTGGGCAGTGCCACCTTGCCCTCACGGGCACATCCTGAGCTTTTCCCATGGCTGTGTCTACTTCTGTGAGAAATCAGGAGGTGGTGTGGTGGTAAATCTGGGAGGGATTGTGATTGTGAATGTGTCTCAGTATAATTGGAGTGCCTCTTGGCCGTTTTACTTTGTTCAGACCTAATGTTTTTGTCAATTGTCCTTCCAGAAGTCGGATGCCTTCTGTGTAGCTGGCTATAAACGGTTACTCCGTAAAGTGCCGGCCCAGATCAAACGGGCTGGAATTCCTGGGTCGTGGGTCACGAAATAAATGGGAGAAGCTTCTTCCTTCTAACCACTGTTGGCCCGACTGAGTTTGTGCGGTATTTCCTGATGTCGGATTTGGTTTAGAGACGTAGCCTCCACGGGAAGGGCAGCGAAAAGGTTAAGATAGTAAGGAGATTAGAGGACTGTTACCCCTTCAACAGGATCCCTTGTGGTAAATATAGCTGAAGGGAGTGAGGGAACGCTTAGTGAGACTTCCCCTGCTTCCCTTCCGTTCCGCATTGCACCTCCCGTCTGGATCGTAGCTCCACGGCTAACGAGACCTTTTGACTTCCCTGTCACCTGATCAGAATTCCCCAAGAGTGTACGCTCCAGTCCAGATCCTGCTCCTGTCTAGGTGTCAGGTGAGTTTTGATCAAAAGCATCCTCCGATTCTGGTGCTTGTGCCTGCGCAACCTGTTCTGAACCAGCCCTTTGCCTAGATTTTCTGACTGCGGACAGCCTGGGAGGTGCCCGCTCACCAGGGTTAAAGACTTTTGAGAGGATTATTAGGGGTGGAGCAACTCTGATGAATTAAATTTGACTTCCTTACTAAGGAAAATGGGTGAAGCCCAGCTTAATGTCGTCTTTAGAATCAGGCCAGGCAAGTGCTTGGGCAGAGCAGTGTCCCAGCGAGACGGGAGTTCTCCTGGGCGTAGGGACGGCGAGATGCCTCCTTCTGATGGTGTGCGCCGAGGGCTGGCTGCGAGGAACCGCGTCTTCGGCTAGATTGTGGTGATTTTCACAGAAAATGCCTATCAGCACTGCTGATTATGGTCAGTGATAACGGATTTGCTGCCAAGAGGCTTGCAGCATGTGAACTGCCATGTACGCTTTGGGCAGAGCAAAGGTTCTTTCCGCTCCCTAAGGGAAGGTGAGCTCTGGAGACTAGGATGGGTGTCTCTGAAGCTGGGAAAGGAATTCCTAAATTTCTGGGGCTCATTCACCAACAGAGTGAGGAAGTAGCTAATCTCTCCCTAAAGAACACGTGTGAAATTTGGAAATTTCTATCCAAAGTTCACTCCCCATTTCATGGCATTTTCTTCTAAGAACCCTCTAACATATCTTGAGCCCTTTTATCTTCACATCCAGGAAGTCTTATAAATGATTGGGAATGAAATACTTCTCTGAATTTAAACCACGTGACTGAATCCTGTAATGTACATGGCTGCCAGTGTGCAAGAATGGGGAATTAAAACCTCCAGAAAAAGGATCATCTGACCCTTTAAATTTCTTCCTTATCTCCCGTTTCAAAGAACCTAAGCAGTTACTCCTCAGCTCTGTGCACTTGGGAATGGGTGATCAGTGGTCCAGCATTTTGGCTTCAGAGATCTTACTGAAGGATTTTATCTTGCATATAGGTGCTACTTAGGATTGTCACGACAGAGTATTTCACCATGCTCATGCTGTCTCTCTCGGAGAACCCTAGTCTGTGTAAAGCCTTAAGCTGAACCTGGGAAAAGAGCAGTCACAGTTGTTAATTAGCAATATTTCGTGTAATGAATTTGCAAAGACGTGACTAGTAGGAGACTGGAATCTCTGCTGACTCCATGCTGCATGGATTTGGGCTCAGTGTATTCCCAGTCAGGCTCTGTGTATGTAAATAGATACGTGTGTGTATAATCCAAAATACAGTTTTTTTAAAGGGATTTAAGGGTCTCCGAGCTCCACAGTCATTACACTTTATTGTTGCAGTGGGCGGTTGAATGAGCACAAGCCACCCGCTCGTTTTCTCCTGAACAGTAACAGAAGGGACATGCGAGCTGATATGGATAAAATCTGTGCTAGGACAGGCCTCTGCGTGCGCTGGGCCCGGATGTGAGTATCTCGGGAGTTTCGACTCCAGACAAACACTCGTCGTACCCCTCCCACTTACAGCATCTGTCAAACTGACTGGCATGCTTGAACTGAGCAAACAAAGTAAAATAGCTGCAAGAGCTGCTGGAATGCTTTCTTTTCATATCCCAGAGTGATACTGCTAATGCAGATTCCAGACTCGGAGGTGTGGGAGTTTTTGTTTGCTTGGACCTGACCTTGATACTAACACAGCCTCCAAGTTTGGGGAAAAACTCCCAGATACCGTTTCTTCACAGAAATAACTCTGTCCAGGTTCCTTGCACATGAAAGTGCAATTCAGCT